TTATTTCCTTCAGAAAGGCCGTTGGTTAGCAAGGTTAGCTAAACTTTTTTTTGACCCTGCCTCTTAAAAGAATCGCAATCAAGAATCGTTAGGAACCGGAATCGAAACAAGGAATCGGAATCAGAATCGTTCAAATTCAAACGATACCCAACCCTAAACGTGATAGAATCTAAGTAATTGCAAGTTGTGTTAACTTAACATTACTTAGGAGATTATATCCCCTATATTTCTAAGTGAAGAAAGTTTAGTGAACTCAATATTTAAAAGACTGTGACCTTGATTTTAACACCCACGCGATCATTCAATTCGTCTGAATCAATCAATTGCTAAAATCATATCACAATATTCAAAGCTGTGTTGGTGCTGCCGCTGACTCGGAGAGAGTTGTCATGAAACAGCTTCACAAACAGTCTTTTTAACATCATAGTATCATTATTTCTGTGATGCAATATTTAAAATTATCATAGAAGTACTTGGATAAAAGTTTAAAGTTCAAATATGAACACTGATGTCTATAGATAGCAATCAAAATCAGCTTTTGATAGAAAATTGGTGCTTAAAGTAATGCATTTATCAATTATATTGTTTGTGGCGACTTAAGTTCCTGTCTCTATGAAGCGCCTCCTTCCGAAAAGTGCAACGAGTTCTGATTGGTTGGCTGGAGCAGTGAGTTGTGATTGGTCCATCAGCCATCACTTTTCAACATACACTCAAGTTTATTTCATGCAGTAGTAAAGTGGAAGAGATAAGCGGCTCTCATGCTTAAACTAAAAGATCGATCTAGGGATCTAAGAATCAATGTTGTGTTCATTAAAGTTAAGATTGATTAATCTCAGATGTTTCTCTTAAAATATATCAGAAATGAGATCATCATCAGTATGAGTATAGAGTGAAAAAATGAACGAGGAGCAGCTCAGATAATTTTATGAGAAATTAGTTCATATTGAGATTCCTGATTTCTGACAAGGAGTGACTCATTTAGTCTCTTTTAGGAGAAACATCTTGGAGAACAACTGTTTTATTCATTTAATGCGAAAAACCTTAGATGTTAAAAATATTTCCTTTGACATGTTTCTTTCCTGTGGGCAAATAATACAACTGAACGTCACATTAACTCACATAACCATCATGCCTCCGTCGCTCTCTCTCTCTCTCTCTTTGTGTTTCAATTCCTCCTGAAACCTTGTTCCTGTGATGTCCCCAAAACACTAAATTCATTATTCACTTCTACACACACACACACACACACACAATAAAAAACTTCTTGCGTCATGAGTGTTTTTCTTTCTCTGGGCTTTTTAATGTGTCTCTTAAGGTTTGTTCAGACAAGCAGCAAAAATGTTTTGCCCTGTCCAGCTCAAATCTGTTTATTTTTCTGTAGTTTAAACAGCAAAAACACACTAAATGCCACTTTCACAAACCCAATCCAAAGCACACGAGCACAGATTTTTGGAGACCGTGTGGATTATGGCATATGAAAAACTCAAGAAGAAAGATTTTTAAAAACTGATTTTAAAACTTTATGGCTTAAGTTGATTCTTTTAAAGATTTAACCCAAGTATGAGCACCCAAATCACTGTCCTAAAATACTTTTGCACTCTGAAAAGTCTTCAGAGTACAAAGTAGCCTATATATACACATGTATATATATATATATATATATATATATATATATATACACAAAGGGGCCTATTCAATAGGTATACCTGTTCAACTGCTTATTAATGTATATCAGCCAATAGGGTTGGGTATCGAGAATCGAGTATCGATTGGAACCGGGACTAACTTTTCATTTTTCCCGGAATCGTTCAAAAGTTCAAATTTCGATTCCTAGTTTCGATATTCACAGTCCGCCGAGCGGAAGAAGAAACCGCTGAACAACACCAAAGAAGCGTCTACCGGAAGTGTTCGCATAACCGCGCGAGTCGAACATGAGTAGCTTACGTCGGTGGTCAAAAGTGTGGCTTCACTTTTCTAAAAATAACGAAATCTCGGCAAAATGCTAAATTTGTGACAAAAGGAGTATTTGTGACAGAAGGAGTATTTCCTTCAGAAAGGATTATTTCCTTCAGAAATACCATTGGTTAGCAAGGTTAGCTAAACGTTTTTGACCCTGCCTCTTAAAAGAATCGGAATCGAGAATCGCTAGGAACCGGAATCGAAACAAGGAATCGGAATTGGAATCAGAATCATTCAAATTCGAACGATACCCAACCCTATCAGCCAATAACATTGCAGCAACTCAATGCATTTAGGCATATTGACATGGACAAGAAGATCTGCATCAGGATGGGGAAGAAAGCTGATTTAAGTGACTTTGAACATGACATGGTTGTTGGTGCCAGACGGGCTTGTCTGAGTGTTTCAGAAACTTCTGATCTACAGAAAATGGCCAGAAAAAAAGAAAATATCCAGTGAGCCGCAGTTCTGAGGGAGAAATTGTCTTGTTGATGCCAGAGGTCAGAGGAGAATGACCAGACTAGTTCAGCTGATAAAGGCAACAGTGAATCAAAAAACCACTCGCTGCAACCGAAGTCTGCAGAAGAGCATCTCTGAACTAGGGTGACCACCACCAAACAAACCAAATGTGGGACAATTAATTATAAATTTATGTGGGTCCAACACTAAAACATACCCTTAAACTGTTATATATTGTCTATCTAACTTGATAAAAAATATGTATATTCTGCCTTTCAGCTGATAAAAATTATTTGTTCTTTAGTCCCTTCCAGAAAAAAATCTTTTTTTCCAAAACAAGTCATTTAAATTCAACATCACTGAGCCCAAAGGCATCAGGAATCATGTATATAAATATTTTAGAAACAGTTCTGACCAAGTCCAAAAATCCAACACAATGAACAAATAAAATATAAAACAACATGAAATTAGATAGTCTTATATATTAAGAATATATTAAAAACCAAATCCAAAAATGTTCATATTTTTAGAAAGGATGTGAATTAAAACAACCACTGCAGGTTAAACAACAACAGATAAATTCCATTAAATTAAAATTTTAATTTACCTAATTATCCATTTGTTTTCCGACAGGGAACACGAAACACCGGTCCACATTTTGATTGACAGCCGTCACAACCAACGAGTGATCGTGTTGACTCCTTTTGGATAGTGTATAGCTAAAACACAGCTGTTGTATTTGTACTTATGACGAAGCGCTGCAAACTACGCAGCAAAAGTAATAAGTAGAATGCTTTCTTAAAAAGGCAAAAGAACGCATGCACGTTTTCTTAATATGATATTAAAAACTAATAGACTGATGAAAATGCGGGACATTTCCTCAATATGCGACGTGCGGGACAAGAGGTGAAAATGCTGTGCAGTACAACTCAAAGCGGGACGGGTGGTCACCCTACTCTGAACACACACCATGTTGAAGCTTGAAGCAGAAGAGCTACAGCAGACCAACAGCAAACGGTAACACTTTAGAATACGGTTCCTTCGTTAATGAATAACTACACAAGAACTAATGAGTAACACAATATTAACAATCTAGTAACTATTATTAACTAACAAGAAACTCTGATTAACGAACTAGTAAGTAATAGCGCACAGACGAAAGTGGTAGTTCACTATTAAGTAATCAATAACTACTTTTTTTTAACACTTCCCAGAGAACTACTGAAAAAGTTTATTAACAATCTAGTAACTACTATTAACTAAAAGAAACTCTTATTAACGAATTAGTAAGTAATAGCTGCAGATGAAAGTGTTACTAGATACTTCTGTGGGAATTACTAATTATTTGGATCCGTATTATAAAGTGAAGATCATTGGAACTAACTAGTAATTACTCAAGTGTTACTAAAGACATTTTCTAAAAGTTACTAAAGTTCACCAAAAAATCTCAAACATTTGCACAAATCATGACTAGATCATGTAGTAACACTTGAGTAATTACTAGTTAGTTCCAATGATCTTCACTTTATAATACGGATCCAAATAATTAGTAATTCCCACAGAAGTATCTAGTAACACTTTCATCTGTGAGCTATTAATTACTAATTATTTGGATCCGTATTATAAAGTGAAGATCATGGGAACTAACTAGTAATTACTCAAGTGTTACTAAAGACGTTTTCTAAAAGTTACTAAAGTTCACCAAAAATCTCAAACATTTGCACAAATCATGACTAGATCATGTAGTAACACTTGAGTAATTAGTAGTTAGTTCCAATGATCTTCACTTTATAATACGAATCCAAATAATTAGTAATTCCCACAGAAGTATCTAGTAACACTTTCATCTGCAGCTATTACTTACTAATTCGTTCATAAGAGTTTCTTTTAGTTAAAAGTAGTTACTAGATTATTAATAAACTTTTTCAGTAGTTCTCTGGGAAGTATTAAAAAATAGAAGTTATTGATTACTTAATAGTGAACTACCACTTTCGTCTGTGCGCTATTACTTACTAGTTCGTTAATCAGAGTTTCTTGTTAGTTAATAATAGTTACTAGATTGTTAATATTGTGCTACTCATTAGTTCTTGTGTAGTTATTCATTAACGAAGGAACCGTATTCTAAAGTGTTACCCAGCAAACTTGACTTGACTTGACTGACTTTATTGTCATTCATAATACAACAAGTGTAAACAGAACAAAATTTCGTTTGCATAGGCCAGTTTTTTGCAGTTTCAATGCAGTATAAATAAATGTTCATCTCCAAAAAATTTGGCTGAGGCTGCGATTCACACAGGCTCACCAACATTACACACTAAAAGATTGGAAAAGCGTTGCCTGGTCTGATGAGTCACAAAGGTTCGGCTGACAAAGAGGTTTGAGAATCTCTGATATACAGTATAGAAACCAGGCAGAAATGCAGAATATACTGACATGAGTCAGAACAAATGGATCATTTCTAGTAAATGGATTTAAAACCTAAACTGGATCAACAAGCTTTTGTCTTCATTTCTCCAGATTTAATCTCTGTTCAGACAGTGCACGGGTCCTTTCAGCATCCTAACAAACAGGAAATGACTCACCGTTCTTCTCCGTGTGTGATTTGATGACTTCCGGTCCTGGCAGGCAGGGACACGGCCCCTCACACTTCACAGAGATGCTCTTACTGGAGCTGCAGGCCTGGAATTCAAGTTTACACTGTGGAAGAACAGAGTAGTGAAGTTAGAGACATTATCACATTTAGCCCGAGCGTTGAGTTTTATCGCTCATGAGTCTGTTTCCAGAAAAATGATGACATGATTTTAGTTCCTTTGAAGTGAGGTGATTGTGTTCATCAGATCTAATCACACAGAGGCAGTGTAAAATCTGCAGTGGATTTAATTAAAGATGATGTCAAGATTAGACTAAAATGGTTTATTAAGTGTAATACTTAATTATTTTTTCAAAGCAGAGACTCAATTAAACAAATAGCAGACAGTCCTACTGATTAAAATTGAGGCATGCGACCCCTTATGAAATGCTAAAAGTTTAAGCTTTTGTCATTATTTCTTCTGTTAAATCTTATGTCTGCATCTGCTGCCATATTTACGCCCAATCTGTGTGTTAAAGGACATTTGCTGCTGTGCTGGTATTCATAATTCCATAATGAAAGAGAATAAAGAGAGAACATTTCTGACAGTTTAAATGGGTCGGTAACATTTTCAATTCAAACTGAAGCGTGTTTATTAAAACAAAGTAAACTCGGGCAATACACAGCAGTGTGCTACACACAGAGATCTATAGTAACGAAGTAAGTACTGTACTTAAGTACTAAAATGCTGTATCTGTACTCTACTAGAGTATAGTTTTTTTTCTCATACTTCTACTTTTACTTCAGTAGATATTTTCGATGAATTTAATACTTTTACTTCGATATTTTTTTAATGTTCTGCTAGTTACTTGTTAAAATTATAAAAATTTTATGAATCATTCGTTGCAAGTTGGCTTTCATGCTGCCTAAATCACACGCCAGTTTTATAGGGTAATGGTATTGATTGACACACACATTGACAACTAATGCAGGGGTTTTTTGGCGGCCGCCAAAGCAAATTTGTATCCTGCCAAAGCGCCTTATTTAATTTCTAGTTCAAACTTTTGACTGCTTTCTTTAATAATTACATGACACAATGCTTGTACTTTTACTTTTAGTGCTTAAGTAGTGAATTTTAAAATAAACTACTTGCAATACTTAAATGTTGAATACTTTAGTACTTCTACTTGAGTGTGGTGCTTAAAGAGTAACTAAACACTTAACCAACTTTTTTTAGTTAATGATCTTTAAGACTGGATCTTTATTAATACCAGTCATTGATTCGAGTAACTTTTTTGACATTTGTGTATAAAGTGTTTTATTTCTACAATATATGGTGTAAAAATGTCTTAGTGCTGCCCTCTTCAGGTTGAACGGTGGCTACTGCAGTTGAATTTTCCTATTGGATGTTTGCGGTAGTACGTGACACAGCGGTTGTTTGTGACGTAGGCAAGTTCCATACAAAGAGATGCGTCTCAGGTGCACGCCCCCCTCCGCTGGGCTCTGCCCACTTTTTCAGCATTTTTCAAATATTGCCAGTGGGTGGAGTCAGGCTCTGACCAGGGGTTTAGTTACCCTTTAAAGAGCACTTCAACTTCTACTCAAGTCACTTTTTTGATGGAGCACTTGTACTTTTACTCAAGTCCGGGTTTCTAGTACTTTATGCATCTCTCCACGAACACGAGCTGAATACAAGGAGGAACTTGCATACAGTACATAGTGATAATGAACTAAATACAGCTAAATGGAATTTTTTATTTAATATACCATTGAATACACCATTGTTTGTCCCACTGTCGTTCTCATAGGCTATTCATAGTTCTTCCTGTTCGATAAAGTGAAAAACGTTTGCATTGTCATTTGCAGTGTCCGGTTTTAAATAAAATAATACGTGATGTAATATCTGATACAAAACAAAAGAAGTCGATCAATTAAGCTTTTAATCAGGATTACAGCGAATGACTTTGATCAAAACAATAACAAAAGCAGCGTTCTCAACAATACAACGCATTAACCTGATAAATGTCGAAGCAAAGCCATCACGGCTACAGTTTGACTGCTGCACTACAGTTTACTCCGTACATATCAAACGATCTATAACAGACAACGCAATAGTGGCACATGGTAAAAACCCTTTCACTCACACTTGTGTGTTGAGACATAACTGTTGGATCCAATATAGTCGTCGCTGCAACATCTTTTATTTTCAGTCTCTCTGAAAAGCCAGAGCTGAATGTTGTCTTGTTTAGAAAAGAATCCACAGTAAAATGAAGCGATCAAACGAACAATGTCTTAATGATTTGATCGGAACTTCGTTAAAAATAAAGTTCAGGCATGCTCTCTCTGATACACTTTAATATCACAAGGATGGAAAGACTGTGTTGTACCAAGTACAAATTGGTACTTCAAAACATCTTGCAATCCTTTCTGTGGTTTTGTTGCTCAAGCAATCCTGTGTTTAGGTCCGTCTACCAGTTTGCCGAGACAGACACAAAGAGGCAATGATGTAGAAGTAGGTGTCGATCTTCTGCAGAGGCGCTCTTTCCTCTCACTATAATAATAATAATATGTAATAATTTGACAGAATCCGAAACAAGACATTTTTTGAGCTTGGTTTCAATAAACGTTGTTTGGATTGACCTTTTAAGGACAATTTGATTTCGCAATTCATGACTCCTTCAAGACCTGTATCTAATTTTAACACTGAAAAGGTATTTTTACAAATGCATTCAGAGAATAAATGAATCACACCTGTCAGTGAAAAATCTTGACGTCTGTTTTTGACATACTCAGCTTAATACATGCAAACAAAATTAAAGAACATTTACTAATCATTTTATCGAGTACATGTGAGTTTTCATCGGATTGTGTGAATCGAAACACCACCGACACACTATATCCGCCCGTCCGTCCATTCATCTAAATGTAGTTATAAACACTATAAATAAAACTCTGCAAGGTCTGCAAGCTTGATTTTTATTTTATTTTATTTCCATGCTAGTTTTCTATTTGTCTAGTTTCCGTTTGTTTCAATGAAGTTTTAATTTTGGTTTGTATAATGAAAATTTGTATAATGAAAATTACTGTCCATGGATGTTTTTGTTTAATATAATCTTTCTTTATATAATCTATTCTAAATCTAGCTATCTATTTATCAGTCTAGATGTAGTTAAATGCAGTAACAAAAAAAACAAACAAGTCTGCATCAGGGTAATTACAGCATAGCTTGAAACTGTTTATTTTATTTTGCATGATGGTTTTCTATTTCTGTCTAGTTTGATTTAATGGTGCATAAATATTTAACTTGGGTATTTAATCTAATTTTGTATGCTGGTTTTTATTTCAGTTTAGTTTCAGATTGTTTTATTATTCGTTTGTGTCTTGTTACACTTATAAGAATTACAGTTTTTTATGAATGTTTTCATTTGTGTTAATCTTTATCTATATAGTGTTACCAATTCTCCAGCTGAAAATATAAGAGCAGTCCAAATATTTTCATTGTCGTGCTGTTCATTTCACTATCTGTCCAAACCCTCTCCTCTATCTGTTCAAACTGAATCTCTCTCTCTCTCTCTCTCACACCTGATTTCATTCTGGCTGAAGGGAAGGAAATGGAGTGGGCGGGGTTAAAGCAGTGAGGTCATAGATGGGAGGCACAGTTTGGGCTGGAGGTTCAGGTTTTCTTTCTGCTCTTAAGGGGAGATTGCGCAGGACTCAAGAATCCAATATCAACAGCGGACACAGTTCATCCACCTAACCATCCATCACCAAACACGGCATCATTTACACCAGGAGAGAGAGAGAGAGCTGCACGCTGATATTGGAATTTAAAGGTGACTCTTTCCTCATTGAGGCACAATGATCCTGCGTTAAATTCCTCAGATCAGATCGAACTCGTACCCACTTGGGGCTGGATTCAAAAAACATTCTTAATAATAACATTGTATACTGTATAAATTATTTCTTCTTATTTTCTAACTTTAAGACATTGTGAAATCAAAATGGATATTTTTCCTTGTTGCAGAAGTCACTCAAATACACACCACAGTAGGGAAGAAAAGACTATCACAACTTCCATTTCATGCCAACTTTGAATATACTTAAGAATATTTTGTATTCCAAAAAACTGTTTCTTAAAGTCAGCATGAAATGGATATTCTTAAAAACGTATTTGAGAACTTCTTCTATGAATATCTCACCTTTGAGGAGTATGTGTGTCCATCCGAGCCGCACACTGAGCTGGAGTGAACTACAGGACATGGCCTACATTTCCCATGATTCATAGCTCCCATCCAACGTTTATGGGGAAGATTTCCGTTCCTGGGTTTAACACTAGAGAAAGGAAGAGAGAGAGAGAATGAGTGGGAAGTGTCACAAATGAAGGCATATATTTGTTTATTATGACATCAGAACACAGATTCAATCGTCAGAAGAGTTTCCAGTAGAAAAAATGTTTTATTTAGAAACTGATTTGGATTTCTATATAATTTATGTAATGTGTGCCATGAAAATTCATCAATTACAATTTTTTTTTTTTGTAATTATATACAGCACGACACATTAAATGATTGAATACATGGTCAACTTAAACATTCATCACCAGTTTATAACTGTAATAAACCGATTATGTTTACACAATCTAATGTATGTGTGGTTGTGTGTGTGTGTGTGTGTATATATATATATATATATATATATATATATATATATATATATAGTATGTACACAGTTCATACAGTAAGTGGGCCTATAAATAATTACATAATTATTAAATACAGTTTGAAAAATTAATATTTTTAAAACGTTTAAAATTTAAATATAAAGGAATATTTTTCTTTTTAAATTCTAATAAATTAAATCCTTTTTAAACGTTTCATTTTATCCCTCTATTACAGTAAATGTGCCCCTGTATCCCTTTAGATTTTGTATTGTGCCACTAAATACTTTAAACTAGGTGGACATGTGCTACTTGGGGGGAATAAAGTAAGTGTCAAGCCCTAACTAGCATGCTAAGTTAGCTCTGATTATCTGCAGTCTTGTGCCAACAGCCCAATCGAGATTTGACAGACATTACAAACACCTAGCGGTCGAATCCGAGTGTAATCGGATTTTATGAGGAGATCAAATCTTACACAGCACTGGCTGATCGGATATCACACACATATCACGACATGACAAAAGACGTCTAAATGTCACTCCTGTTCACAGTCAAAATGTCAATATCTCATGTAAAGCGTGAAGTCTGATCATCCAAAGGAGATAAACAAACATGATCATTGTCTGGGTCTTTAACATGCTATATAAAAATATCTGTCGGGTATTATGTGCTAAAAATTCTCACACACACTCTGGGGACATCAGAGATTTATTTTACATCTTGTGAAAATGGCATTTTACCACCCCTTTAAAAGAAGCCTCTCATGCTCATCAAAGCCTCATTTGATTAAAATAATATTGTGGAAATAGTATTACAATTTAAAATAACTGTTTTCTGTTATAATATACTTTAAAATGTAATTTAATCCTGTGATGCAAAGCCGAATTTTCAGCATCATTAGCACAGCCTTCAGTGTCACATGATCCTTCAGAAACCATTCTAATATGCTGACTTGTTGATCAAGAAACATCAAACCAAATCATACATAAAATATACAAAAGATACATAATACAGAATTAATAGAATACAATATATATATATATACATTTTAATATACACAATACAGTAGAAAATAAAGTATACACATTTTTTGCAGTTAAGATGTGTAGAAATGTTAGAAGTGTATGATGTGTCCAGAGAAGTGCTGTGTTGGTGCTTATGGGGCTTTTAGTATTGAGGGGCCATTAGTTAAGTGTTCAGAAGTCTAATGGCCTGTGGGAAGAAACGGTCTCTTAGCCAGCTGGTGCGGGACCATCTGCCTGTCCAAAGCTGGGGTGGCTGGAGTCACAGATGATCATCCACACTTTTCTCATACACAGTGTAGATGTTCTGGAAGGAGGGAAGCTCGCCTCCAACAATGTGACGGGCTGTCCGGATGCTCTTCGGGGCACAGGTGTAGAAGGAGCTGAGGATGCGGGGGCTCTTCTATCTTCTATCAAGGCTACCTTCAATCAATTCTTCTATTCTTCTATCCTTCTTCACCACTGCTTCTGTGTGCATCAACACTGTCCTTGGTGTTGAGATTGCCATGGAATTTGAAGTGGTTGAACCTCTCCACTGGCGTGCGTTTGAAGGAGATGGGGTGTGTCCAGTATCCTGGAATCCACTACTAACACTTTGGTCCTTTTGACATTGAGGGAGAGGTTGTTCTACAAGCGCCAATGAGTCGAGGAGTTCACCTCCTCCTTGTAGGCCGTCTCATTAGTTGTACAGTTGATTGGTAGCGAATTTGAAGATGGTATTAGAGTCCATGCAGTCCCTGCGGATCTCCAGTGTTGAGGGTCATTGGGGAGGAGGTCTTGTTACCCATTCTGACTACTCAGGCATCTGCCTGACAGGAAATTCAGTTTCCAGCTGCACAGAGAACTGTTAGGAGCCTAGAGTTTTGCGGTCAAGTTTAAAGGGCGCTGAACTGTAGTCTACAAAAGCATTCTCACATATGTGCTCCTTTAAGTTTTCTAGGAGTGTGTAATATATATTACATTATCAGTAGAGCAATTGACGCTTCGCTAAGCCACGCCCAACAACCGCCACTGGGCAATGGTATCTTAGCAACCGTAACTATGTGCGGGAGGTCTGGCAAGCTTTCGAGCGAGGGAAACTTGCTGAAAAATTGTGCGAATTTATTGTGCAAATCTGATACCCGGTATCCTAAAAGTTTGGATGGGGAAGAGGAATTGTTTTCCTTCCAGAAAATCTAAAAGCCGAGGGGAGTGATGGGCGTGATCAAGCAGTGTGGGAGACCCATTCACAACTACCGGTAAACGTCGACTTGATTAACAAAAACACTTTGGAAATATTGATGGTTCTTTGGTCATAATGATATTAGAGCCAGACCGATATATCGGCAGGCTGATATTATCGGCCGATATTAGGCAATTTCCAAACTATCGGTATCGGCAGTTACAATGGCCGATAAATTAATATTTCAAAAATAAAATAAAAACGGACGAAACACGCTTGAACCATGTCATGAGTGTTGGAGTTGTGTAGTTTGTCCACCAGAGGGCACTCTACACTGTCCCTGTCGGCAACACTCGTTGAGTTGGTCACGAGACATACGTTGCTTGAATAACAATTAAAAGAACATGCCCATCAGTTCTCAAATAAACATGACAAAATTTGTGACTATCATGTCCAGTTTTGCTGCTGTTAAATTTTTATAATAATAATAATTATGTTATGTTGTTACAGTGTAGATGACCTACTGTCCTTTTAAATTTTGACCATGTGACTGAAGTATTTCTTTACTAGCATGTGGCAGTTATTGCAATGTGACGTATCATCTCTCCTTGGCCGGTTATATTGAAAATGTATGTTTTACAATTTGCAGTATGATGTTATCCATTTGCTAAATTATGGCTCATTATAGACTAGATAACCATAAAACTAGCTAATGCCACTCTCATCAGTCTGTTCTGTTGTGACAATAAAAGAAACACGTTTCTTTTTAAAATGCATTATCATATTATTTTAGTTACAAAAACTCATAAATAACTACAAAATACTAATGTTAGGGAAATCTGTTAATGTTTTGTTGCGTGTTTCTGGGAAAAAAAAAATATCGGCCGATATATCGGAATATCGGATTTTAATACCAACAATTATTTGTATCAGCCTTCAAAATCCTTTATCGGTTGGGCTCTAAATGATATAACGTACCATAAAACGATTAAAGACAAGACTGAGGCTCACTGACATACTTCAAAATATATTTCAGCATTTTGTTTATCGACGTCCTACTACCCGACTAACCCAATCTGATCGCGGCTCTCCCGGTGTTAGTGTTACACCACAATATTTATGGATAAGCTGTTTGATTTAGATTAGGATTATTTTCACATACCCTGCTGTTCCTCAATTTGTGTTTCAAATTTGAATGGTCAGCATATGAGGTAGCTGCTTGCGCTGGGACTATAACGTTAGGCTTTAGCTTCAATTTAAGAAATTATTCTCTAATCGGTTGCATATTATATCGTGAATATATCCCTCGAATGAAATACTGCAGTCCCTTTTGCCTTGATCTCTCAGATATGTCACATGTTGGCCGAAAATTACTAATTATCTGACTAGGAATGTCTGACATCGATGTATTCACACTATAATATATGTGCCAGCTGCGAAAGCTTGACAGGTGTAGCAACAGTAACTAGGGAGGGCGGGGCTTAGCGAATGGTCAATTGCCACGGTATATAAACCGGAGTGTGTCCAGTTTGGCAGGCAGCACAGAACAGATGTAGTTTCTGATCAGCCTTTTGAAGCATTTTCTTATAATAGGGGATAGAGCAATAGGACTCCAGTTATTTAGGCATGTGATTTTAGTTTGGGTACAGGCACAATGAAGGACGCTTTGAAGCATGTGGGCACCACAGATAAGAAGAGGAAGAGATTGAAAATGTCTGTAAAAACCTCCACTAACTGGTGCTGGAATGCTTTGAGTATGCGACTCGGGATGCTGTCTGTGGATATTCACCTGATGGAAGGATCAGGTTACATCCGCTAAAGAGACTGAAAGAACTAACCGGGAGAACTTCTCGTGACTGTGGTGTTATGTACTTCCAACCGAGTGTAGAAATGATTTAGCTCGTCCGTCTTCCCTTTAAACTGGTGATGTTGATCCCCTGCCACATGCTTCTACAGTCAAAATGTATTTCCACCGTGTCCATGTATCGGCTGATTCATTTGATTTAAATTTTATATAAAATTATAGTTTTGAAAACAGTTGTGGTGATGTGTTTTAGGATAATTTGATGAATAGAAAGTTCGAAAGAACAGCATTTATTTGAAATATAAATATTTTGTAACATAATGTACATATGTCTAGAGCCACTTTTAATTTATAAAAAAAATTACATTTCTTTAAAAATACTTCTTTTCTATTTTATTCATTACATATAAAGGATAACCGGAGTTGTCTCATATCATCTGGAAGGGGTTTATGTTCTGCTAATAACCATCTGACTGTACATTTTCTCACTTATTACACAACTGCTTACAAACCAAATAAGCAGACATGAAATATTGATTTGAGTTTAAATTATTTTATTACGTGAGGAGAAAGTGAGTATGGATTGATATGATATTAGCACAGCATTTTAGGAAATCATTTAAAGGGGACAATGGCCAAGCGGCTACAGTTTAGCATCATTATACAAAAATATTGGGCGAATGCAGCGGGTGACCAATCACAGTCATGTCCTCCAGAGAGCTGTGTAATAAGCTGAACTCACTCCCAGTGCTTCTGAACCCATCCGCCAAATTCACATCATGAGGAGAATTTGTCTCTGGTCACTATGAAGTGCTCATCTTCAGCCGACGCTTTTAAAGTCTACGTAATGAACTACTGGATAATGGAGTGAGATGCAGTATAATGGAGTATACTACAGAACATTATTGTGCACTACATTATCTGTAATTTACACTTCATTGCATTATATTGAAGTATATTTGGAAGGGGAAATTACACTGCTGTATTGGATCTGTTCTCAAGTCACTCTTACAGCAGAAAGCAGTCTATCGATACAACCAGCATGAGTGTCTTCTTCATAATTACACTTCAATTAAAATGTCATCATTAATGGGTACATATTAGGCTACTTTTATAACATAATCGAGGTTCTGCGATGATAATAAAAGATGTTAGATTAGCTTACTCAAGAAACAAAATGTTGAAAACGAAAGGCTTCTCTTTTCATTTTTTTTTTCACCACATATGGGCCACAAGAGAAATATTAAGAAAAGAAGTTAAGACCGTAATAACGTTATCAGAACATGTTATAGTAGACTCAGCTCTCCTCGTGTCACTATTGATATACAAAGAAGGTGCACTCCAATTACTTATGAATGGGAGAAACAGCACTAGATATTAGAACAGAGCCGAGTCCTGTATGGAAACTGCACAGTTTGTTTATTTTTTTTTAGTTAATTTGCATTAACACTATCAATATCAGCTCCTTTTAACACTTTGTACCAGATCCATTTAACAGATTTTCCTCAACAATTAGTGTAGACACGTGTGGGTCTTTTTATGATTTATTAACGTGTTATTTTGTTGTGCATAATCTAGCAGTGCTCTTCATGCATTATATACTGCAGTGTTTTAAGCTGTGAATTAATGATCAGAAGCGGAAGCTACATCTCATGTGCTGGTCATTAATGATAGATTGACCAATGCAGCGATAACTCCTAGGGAAAGCATTATCACCCGCTCGCAGTGTGCTTGGCTTTCTAATCGGATCAGCATGTCGTTATTTCTAAGGGAGATGTGATATTTACCTTGCCAGCATGCTCTTTGTGTTCGCATATGTAAGAGGGCGTTTGTAATTTAGCTTCGTAAACACTTGGACCGGCACTAATGGCCATTACACAATTCATATTTGTTTGACCGAACATAAAGAGGGCGGAGTCAAGAGGCCGGAATGACATTCCCTCAATGTTCCGCTGTCACTATGACAACAACTCACAACAGACACCGATAGAATGTTAATGTGACCATGGAGAAGCGGAGCAGCTTCCCGAGTGTAAATTCCTCAGAGGCCGATTAAACACAAGGACACATGCTCATTTATCTAGTGCTTAGAACTCATTTGTAATCATGGTTATGGAATAATTGATCAAGAATTAGGCTACTAGAAGTGAGAAACACTTTGAGCTTCCAGGATTTGACTAGTTAGTAGGGGTGTCACGATTCTTTAATTCGAAGTTGATTTCGGTCGATTTCGATTTAAAATCACCCTTACAAGACTGATAAAAATGATTTTGTGGTGAAGTAAATGATACAGAAAAAACAATGTAATTTACATGAAAAAAGTTAGTTCAGGCAAGAATTTAAAAAAAAAAGTAAATTCTATAGTAGAACTCAATTCAATCGTGTAGAAATGAAAGCGTAAATATCAAAATTATAAAATTAAGTAAAAATACTCAACTTTTCTGATACTGGTGTTCCCATCATGGACTGGGTCATGAATAATTAATGAAGTTGATTTTTCACTGTTTTCCAGCTGTATTTACACTATTTTATCATTACTTTTGCTGTTAGGATTAGTAATTTGCCATTTTGTGACATTTGGAGTTTATTTTCTACTTAAAATGAAACAATCTATCAAATGTTACCGTCATTGTGTATTGCCTGCCAAGTATTGAGGTCTGTGTTCACACATTCTTATGTCAAAAGTGAAGACACGATGAAACACACTGCAAGTTTTAAATACTTAAACATTTCTGAGTTAATCATATACTTAAAAAGTGTGGTCTAATTCAATGTTATATTGTTTGATTGAAATGTTGTACAAAGAAAAATTCAATTAAAGAGAATAGATATTACTTAATCTTTAGCTTTAGCTAAATAAAAATTACTTAATTTCTTATGTTACTTTCACTTAACTTAGTTAAGTATAGTTTACTTAATTATATGTGTGAAATTTACTCAAAAAATATCAGTGCAGAAACTTGCCTTGAAAAAATTAAGTAAATTTTACTTGTTTTTTTACTTATTGGTAAAAGATGCATCAACTGCACCAAACAGCTGTTCAGCGGGGGTTTTCAAGCTAAGATCTAAGGGGAAATTAGTCTAAAAACTGTATAAAAGACCATAAAAATGAATAAAAAAAGATTTAACTAACTAAATAATTAATTTATTAAAATGAATAATAAAAAACGGCAACACTTTACAATAAGGTTTAAAGGGGTCATGAACTGCCTTTTTAAATTTTATTATATTGTTGTCTGAGGTCAACTTACAGTATGACGTTCGCTTGGTTTTTGCATTCAAAAACATCAAAATGAATAAGTAAGTAACTGTTACCCTCAAACTGTAACCCTCAAACTAGTCAAAATTTGTCTTAAACAATCTGTACCATTCTACCTTCCTCCATCTCAGCACCCACACCTGTCTTACCTGTGCTGAGCTGGTTTGTGATTGGTGCAGATGGCCGTCTGGAAGTCGTGGCTCACACACACTTTGTGAGGAGGGCAGTGAACCTTCAGACAGGGGTCTTTAGTGCTGTCCAGCCCTGAAAAACAGAGAAAGACTTCATTTAATATGATAAAACGAAACCTATTCTGGGCCTAAAACCAGCCTTTATCTCATCTTATATCTGATCTGTGTTTGTCTCTCTCAAACACACACACTCTCTCATCTTTTATATTCACGTTCTTTTGTTTCAGTTTTTTCTCTCCAAGAAAGAAAAACAGAGTAGATTCAGTCAGATGGCATGAAAGGAAGCGAGAGAATCTGATGGAGGAGAGGAGAGCTTTACTCTGGCAAACACACAGGAGAAACAATGCAGCAGCCTTCTGGCAAATGTTTTATCATCTCTCACACACACACACGCACACACTCACTGCACCGACTTTGAGCAATAGCTCAGTGTAAACACTTCCTGACAAATGGAGGACGAGGAGAAACACTGTCTCGCGCTCTGCCATCTTTTCCTCTTTCGCGCAGGTAATGTAGTTCCTCCAGCAGGAAGTAGGAGGATGAGGAGGAATAGTGTGTGTACGGAGATCATTACGAGAACTCGTGAGACATTCATCTCTGTCAGGAAACATTAAACACACACGTTTCTCAGCCATCCATTACAGAGCAAATTCAATTTTTATTTTATCAGACATACAGAACTACTACAAAAATACAGTATAGCGCTACTGCTGCTTGTGTGTGTGTGACACTGAATCACACAGGTGGGTTTAACAGAGGTCAAACACTCCATCCCTCCCTCTGACCTTCACATGTCTATGTGTGTGTTCATCGGGGAAGTTTGATGCCAACCTGCTGTTCGTCTGGAGCGCAGCCATGCCAACTGGCTTTCAATACAGCACAGCACACACACACACACACACACCAATTTACAGCTGTTATCACTCCTGCTAACGTCGTAAATACCTCATAATTAAAAGGATACTTCTCCAGTATGTTGTGTTGTTAAACCTGTGTGACTTTCTTCATGTATTAGTGTGGGATCTCCCATTAATTTGGTTTTCCTTTTAATGGGAACATGGGTGGGTATATCATGATTATGATGATTCTGCCTTGATTTTCTTTTTTCCTTCAAATCATTTTTTTAATGGACAACACGTCTGTCTTTTCATTGTACCACTGAACCTGTGTTCCTTTTGTATTCCTTGGGTGCAAATCCCAGGGTCATTGTCACAAAAAGCATCACTCTGCTGATATTCACAAAAAAATGTTACAGTGATGCAGCAAAACATTGATCTGACAAAACCACTATATGATGACACAATCAAACAATGATACGGATGGTTAGTATGACAAAAGCAGGACACTGTATATTCAAAAGATCAGTTCCAATTTGAAGCTTGTGACATATAAGCATGTACATCAACCCAATTTATTTAGCGCATCCATCACTTTTTAGCGTTCATGTAAACACTAGGCCTATGTTCAGATTGAAATGAAATTCAAAAAACAAAAGGTGTCCATGCAAATGTAGTTAATTATAAATCCAACAATGGAACATTGTTAAAACGAAACAATTAAACGACAATAAAACACAAAGCAGACAGTGACCAGGGGCTGCAGTTTAAGATTAAAAAGCATCATAACTAGTGGTGCACGATATATCGGCCGCCGATATAATATCGGCCGATTTGGTCAATTTTTTACACATCGGTATCGTTCCGATGTCAAAATAGGGCCGATGTGTACAGGCCGATGATCATTCCCTGTGTATTTGACGTGCGTGGGGGCGGGGATGTTTGTTTTTGCACGTGTATTAAAAGCGCAAGTGCGTTTAAACATCAAGCGCACGAAGACTGGAACTGATGAGCTGTTTTCTGCCAGCCTTCCTAATGCGTATTTTTGTCCCGCCAAAGCCATATTTGACCGGTAAGTGATGTAGATGAGTGACTGGTGCGCTTGTTTAACTGAGGGAACGAGTCAATTAAAGCACCGGTCATGCGCGCCGCCTTCTAAATGTCTTTCGCTTGTTTAACTCAGGGAACAAGAGAGAGTGAAAGCACCGGTCACGCGCGCCGTCTTCAAAATGTCTTGCTCTCTCTCTCCCCCTCACGCATGTTTATGAATTGAGTTGACTGAATATCTTTGAGAATACACGATGGTAAAAGGTCGGAAGACCGAAGTTTTTTTCTTCTGAACTACTGGTTGTGAATTGTGAAACCACACTTTCAATAAACCAAAAAAAAAAATCTATCGTGTTGATGAAATGTTTTCTGTGTCGACTGTCGAGACCATAGACTGTAAAATAGGTCGAGACAAATCTCGTGCGATGTTCTAAACTGCCTGGATAATCACACAACGTGTGCCGTGGTTCCGTTAATGACACGTCCGATTCGCGAACTAATGACTCCTTTGAACCGATTCACTTTAATGAATGGTTAAAACAACTGATCTGTCAACACTGAGCTCAAGATACATAAATCGGAAACACTTTACAATAAGGTTCCATTTATTAAAGTGTACATTAAATGTACACTTTAATAAATGGAACCTTATTGTAAAGTGTAAGGTTAATAGATTAATAGAATGTTAACACATTTTGTTAACATTCTATTAATATTAGTTTCTGTGGATATACTCCATGACAAAACTACCCCAGTCATTCTAGAATGATTCATTCTTTCCAAATAGAGCAATTCAAGTAATCTGGTGAAATTGTTTTTATATCACAATATATATCGCAGAAAAATAAAATATCACAATGTCATTTTTTACCAATATCGTGCAGCCCTAATCCTTGCTATGTGTTTTCTATACAGGGATATCGACATCGGTAAATATCGGTATCGGCCATAACAGCAATGTTAATATCGGTTATCGGTATCGGCCACAAATTTTCACATCGGTGCATCACTAATCATAACATCTATCTTTATGACCAATAGACCTTATTCAGAGCAGCGCCATGACAGGTATGAAAGTGTGGCTGTGAGGGATAGACTTACCATGTTTCCAATGGCATCCGCTGTAAAAAGCTGAATAAAGCGGCTAGATTACTTACAATTTTCCACAGCTTACGTTGTCGGGAGTTTTTTGTCAACTGACATTTCTTGGAAAGATATTTTTACAGTGTTTCATGAGCCGAACAATCCGAAAACACATTAAATAACAGTACAGCGCATTGAAGAGATGCATGTCTATCCCTCACAGCCTCACTTTCATTCTCATTAAAAATCAAAGATGGCGCTGCCGTGAATAAGGCGTCTGCTCTTTATTTCAGGTCTTCTGAAGTCATATGTTCACTCTTAGAAGAAAAGGTTCTATATAGAACCTTAAAAGGTTCTAAAGTGCTACGTACTGTATTTGGAACCCCTAAAATGCAATGCATGTAAATGATCACAAAATTTAAGAGATGGGGGTTTAAAAATGCAATTAATCAATAGCACATGAAGAGTGCCATTTCAGTTTTTCTCAGCATGATTATTAAGTTACTACAACAGTTTAATAAACAATAATTTAATTACAACTACAAAATGTTGCAGAATAATGTAATGTATGAATAAATAATAGCCTTTGTGCCAAAAGGGTTCTTTCTTGTCATTATCATCATTTTTTTGCATAAAAGGTCCTTTGCAGTTGAGTAAAGAACCCTATGCTACATATAAAGAACCATTTTTTCCTAAGAGTGAGTGAGTAACAGATCAATTTTTAACATAATTATTAACTGAAAATGAGGTCATTGAGATGAAAGGCCTTTTTGAACCAACGATGTTTGACATCATTTACTTCCAACCTTGTTCCAGAGCCATATTTGAATATGCAAATGAGAAAAGGGAGAGATTTACAGTGATTAATGATTTAAAGTTCAGTCTGTTCCTCACAGAAAGCATGACTCCAGAAGACTTGAATATAAACTTTCTAACGTACATGCCTTTCTTGATGGAGTTTAGGCCTCTCTCAACCCTGTGACAGATGGGATGATTTGAAATTTTCCTGCATATGGGATTCAGCCGGCGAGGGCGATGAGGGATGGAAGGAAAGGAGAGATGAGGCGCTGGGAGCGTGTCGGAGGGGAAGTGAGGACACGCTTTTGCAGTGGACACACACACACACTCTTAGATTACGTGATGTCTTTCACAGCATACAGTGATAGGATTCTGTCTGAAGGACGTTTTGCTTTCGTGTTTTAGTTTTTGCATAACTGAGTGTGTGCGTGTGCAGTTAGCAGGAGGTTTAATGAGGTGAATCTCACAGAAACACCTCCTGATCGAATTTTGACCTCGTTCAAAATCAAATAAATAATAAAATACAGTATATTCGCGTAAGGAAAACGAAGGGACCATTTACATTTTTGGGATTTATATTCATTTATATCTTTATTTTTTGAAGTATTAAAATGAATTAAATTATGTAATTTCCTAAAATTAATATAATTTCAATTTTCTGTCTCTGTTTAGTACCTATGTCTTCAGTTCCTGTTTCCCTTGTCTCCATTGCTGTCTCATTAGTTTTCCTGGTTTATCTAAGCCAAAACCCGTCCTTAATTTACACATACACACACACACACGATACAAAATAGCATTAAAAAGGAGTATTGATCTAGTGAGGTGAGAGGACATGTAAGGTCCGTAAAGGTACCGCATTGTGGTGCATTCCTCTTGTTACTCCAGTGTATTCTTTCATTTTGTTCAGTCGTTTTTCTATTACAACGGAAAACAGGCCATTCATATTCAGAGACAGACTCCAAACACCCTCACTGCCGGGTACGGACGCGTGTGTCGAAGAGGGAATGAAAATAAGAAAGTGTGATAGATCCTGACTGATAAATGTGAGATGAGAGTGAGAGAGAGGGGGGAAGGGGGATATTTACCTCTTCACACTTTTCAATTCCTGGCCTGAATGAACAAATTCAGTTCCTGTTTAACCAAGCAGTCAATCCAAATCAACAAACAGCGCACGGTGTACACACTTCGGCCATGTTTAAAATGAAATACTGCGCAAAATATACTGTATACTGAGCACTGTTTATTAAAAATGCATTGCAATAATGATATCCGTTTCAAACAGCAGCTCATAAATTGCATGTTTAATTCA